AAGGGACCTGAGAGTCGAACCGCCTGGAACTGGGAGGGATGACATCTGCAAAACCTCCTTTCCTCTTCCTTCTCCCCATCCCTTGCCTCCCCCTTCTCATTTAAAACTTATAAAAGTATATTCTGTAATGAGCGTGGCGCGCTTCTTCTCCGCAGGTTTCTGCGAGTGAAGTTTGCGACTCTTTGCTTGCTTTCATCTGAAAATAAACGAAACATCTATTGGATTTCTCTGTCTCTGGCTGATAGATTTAATGCATTAGAGATGGGCAAAAAGCAACAGGAAATAGTCTTGGCCCGCCTCACACTCAAGTTGCATCCCCGGAGGAATGATGGGGAGCGGACAGAAGGTGAAAACTACGTACACACATGTTATTTCACAATAGGATTCTGACAGTCCACGCTAATCCCTTTAAACGAAAGCTCCAAATTTACAGAAGGGCCCGGGAGAGAGTCCAGACACTTCCACGGCACTTACTCTCCTGGGTTACCTCCAGAACCCGTTCTCTCCTGCCTTCTCCTACACCCAGCCTCTTCCCCGCCCAGCCTCTGGATGCTACTCAAAAGCAGCCGCCTGCCAAGAATTTCTCCTGCAAGAGAGTATCTCAGCTTCCATGTCCCTGACATGCTGACCGAGGCCTTGGGAAGCCTGCGCTCTTGTTCATGGTTCTTCCTTCTGAGGCACCCAATAAACAGAAAACAAAGTTGAGCTGCCTTACACCGAGTCAGACCCTTGCCCCGACTAGGCCAGTGTGACCTACATGGAGCTTTTCAAGCTTCCAGGTGGATTTTTTTTCCTTCCAGTATTTTAATATAATGCTTGTGCAACTTCTTCTTTCTTTTACTATTAGTGTCCTCGCTGTTGTTAGCTTTTAAATATTATCTTTTAAACTGCCTTGGGTCCTTTTGAGGAAAAAGGCAGTGTAAAAATATTTTGAATCAACCCATAGAGAAATGATTGAGGGCCAGCCCTTGCAGGACTCCGAAGGACCTCTCCCGACTTCAAGGGAACGATACAAAGGGGCAGCCGCACTTATTAGAGTCGGAATGGACCGTGTGCCTCATTTCTTCAGGAGATGCCTGTCTGGAAATGCAAGTCAGGCTTAAAGGCTTAGAAAACAGGGTATATCATCCTTTGAGTTCTGGCTTTCTGATTTCGGTTCTGGAGATCTGCTGAAGCAACGCTATCAAGCAATTGAAAAGAAAAAGAAATAAAGATCCTGGCCTTACAACATCTGGTTAGGGTGTAACATCTGCTTTGGAGTGTTCTCTTTCTTGCCCCAAGCTTTGCCATGCCCAGCCTCATGCGGAATCCCACTCAAGCTCAAAAGCTCACCTGCTTTTGAAGATATTGTGGCTGAATTCAAGCACTGGGTTTTGGATTAAAGAAAGAAACTGACCATGACCTTTTTTTTGTTGCTTATGCAACCACACAGGCATTCGCCCCCTCCTGCAGGCTGACTTCTCCACGAGAGCTCTTGCACCAGCTACAAAATGGCGTATGTGGCCAGTTGTACATGGCATGAAGGGGAGCCAACCCAAAAGAAATATGAATTTTTATGCATGGATTTATCTCTAAGTGGCTTTTGGGTGGAGTTTATACAATCCTTAGCTACAGGTGGAATACTGTGGTGAGCAATGGGACACAGAGAGCATTGACATTATGTTGGAGAGCAGCAGAACGTAGGCTGGCCTACTGCTCTCAGGTGCAGGCAGACAAGGCGGCCCTCTCGCCAATGTTACAAGCAGATCCAGCTGCTAGCAGAAACAGCCTCTGTCCTGGTGCGTGGGCACAGGCGGGACCTTGGCCTCAGGCGGCAGACTACCTTGGGCTAGCCTGACATGACCAGCTTTGGACATTCTTGTCCCACCTCCTGCCTGGACTCCCTCATGAAAGCAAGACAATAATGACCTTCAAAAAAGAGGAAATTCTCTCCTGTTGCAACTAGAAAGCATTCTCTGGCCGTTCTCCTCCCCCTTCTTCTTTCCTGTTGACCGCGGAATCCATGCCCCGTGACTCATCAAGGCAGATCTTTCTCAGTGTAACATTTTCTCTGGGATTTCAGACACGGAGGGACAGAATCTAACTCTTCTTTCTTCTCTGAAACCATGTTTGTTATCAAGATGAGAAGAAGAGCGAAAATTTGGCCACCTGACCGATTCCACTTAAGATGCCTTAAGAGAGGTTTACGGTTCCTTTCTGTTCCTATCTTGTTTAACTTTTGGAGAAATCATTCACAATTCTTTGCCGTCTCTCGTGAGGCCGGCCTGTAAAAACAGTTCTGAAGGACTGAACGCAACCAGTGGAAAAATATGCTGAGAATATTTAGCACTGGCAGCACAAAAGAAAACGTGAACATGAGAGTTTGGCTAGACTCTGGTTGTTTTCCTTTTGAGAAAGACTCCTGCCAGACGCAACACTCTTTTTTTTATTGCACATTTATGAATTCAGATGAAACCGGGCCACATCCATGTAGCATGAAGCAGACACAGGGAAAGAGAGGGGAGTGATGTGATAAACAAAAACGTCCATTTGGCATTTCTGTAGAAAGTGGCAAGGATAACGTTAAAGCTAATGCTGCTTTTGGGAGCAAAACATGGAAATCCATGGAAAAGGGATGGGCTGCCTATGATCTGTAAAAGTCATCCAGGAGAGGAGATTGTGTGCCTGCAATCATCAAAGATGAAGTTGCCAACGTCCATTCTTCAGTTCAGGTATAATAAAAACAGTGCACAGTCTCTGGCTGTGGTCACAACTTGCAAGAAGAACCACATCTAAGCATCACTGAAATCCATTTTGATTTTATCGTTCATGCAACACAAGGGCGAAATCGATTTATATATGATGCCAAACTGAGTTTTTTTTTTCAATTGGCCAGCAGGGTATTTTTTTTAAAAAAAAATACTTTGCTTCTAAAATCGATTGAGTTCAATGTGGTTTTGTGCAAATGAGCCAATTTCAGCCATGTAGATGCCCAACCCGGTTTAAATTACCAGAAATAAACTGATTTCCATTCAGTGTATGCGAATGCAGCTACCACATGACTTGAACCTGATTTTTAAAAAGTCTGAATAGAAATGGATTCAAATTGCCAGTGTGGCCACAGCCTCAATTTCAACATCTGGCGACTCTTCCCAGGGTTTTCTAGGTAGAAAGTATTCGGGAGTGGCTGACCATTCCCTTACTCTGGGGGCATCCTGGGACTGTACAGCTTGCCCAAGGTAACCCAGGCTGGCTGTTCTCCCAGGAGGCACACGTAGGGAACTGAGCTCTTAATGCTGCTGCTCCACCTTACTGAGCTAGCCAGACAGATAAACTAGATAGAGAGATTTTAAATGTTGAAACCGTGGCACGCAGTAGATGTTTGTTCGTTAGCGCACACGGGGAAACCAGCAAAGAAACGAGCAAAGACTGGCATCTTCTAAATGCTGGCATCCTGGGTCAAAGCCATCATCACCCCACCATAGTTGCAGCTGTGGATCCTGGTCTAAATTTATAAACAAGAACTGGGGAAGTGCTGTTAAAAGTTGTTTGCGATCCTGGTTTGGGCAAGCCATGCAAGAATGTTTGCTGGAAAAGCAGCGAGAGGCTTGTTCAGATACAATGACTACGTATTTTTAGTTTTCTAAGAACCAGGAGGGCAGGAAGAAAACGGGACCATGGAAAAGAAGGCGAGGGCTGCCAGAAGGCGAAGATCCGGCCGCTTACATTGTGGTTTGGCCGTTGCATCTGAACCGGGACGCTGCCCCATTTGCTACGCTTCCTTTGAAGATGGGTCCGTTGCCCACATTGGCTCACGAAGGGTAAAAGAGAGCACGGCGGATGAAATGGTGGGAGGATCTACTAAACAAATAACGCAACAAACCAGTAGCCTTCCTTTTCCTTTCTGTACAGTCAGTATTTTTCATCTCTGCTTTTCTTGGTATGTGCTCTAAACCTGGACCCTTGTTTTGAACAACAGGCAAACGGCCGTGCGCACAGAACGCAGCCCACTTAAAATACCTTAGGACATTTCCAGACAAACCCTCCCTGTTTCCCCAAGAGGCAGAAAAAGCATTGGCTGCTAATATTCCCCCAGAGACCTGAGGATCAGGCCAATTATTTTCTGCTCTCTTCTTACTGAAATTTTCCAGGATGGGTTATTTTAGGCTCTTTTTTTGGCCTCTGATGACTCTCTGTTGAGGACTGGCAGGCACAACTCTTACGAGGGGGGGGAAAGCACCCGGTTCAGTGCTATTATTTATCATGCTGCCCTCATTGGCATTTGATCAGGTCCATGTCATTATTACACCTCACTTCTGCGCTTTATGGGTCTCCTTAGAAGTCTTGTATTACTGTGTTGCAGGGATAGAGATTAGAATATAATCTTAGAATAATCTTCAAATATTTTAGAACGGCAGAACCAGAGGGGATCCTATGAATCCCTGAGTCCAGCCCGTCACAGAGGCATGTGGGGGGGGGGGAACCAAACTCCCAACCTCAGCCAGATACCTACACCACTGAGGTAAAGAGACTGCCTGTTTTAAAGAGAGGCTGTCATACCCCCCCAGTTCCCCTGTTTGTTCTTCTACACATTTAATCAACGTGTGTATTGTTACTATTCTCACTTCTGGGGACGTGGTGGCGCTGCGGGCTAAACTGCAGAAGCCTCTGTGCTGCAGGGTCAGAAGACCAGCAGTCGTAAGATCGAAGTGAGCTCCCATCACCCGTCCCAGCTCCTGCCAACCTAGTAGTTTGAAAGCATGTAAAAATGCGAGTAGATAAATAGGTACCTCCACGGTGGGAAGGTAAAACAGCGTTCCCTAGTCACGCTGGCCACGTGGCAACAGAAACTGTCTTTGGACAAGCGCTGGCTCTACAGCTTGAAAATGGGATGAGCACCGCCCCCTAGAGTTGGACATGACTGGACTAAAAATATCAAGGGGTAGCTTTACCTTTACCTTATTCTCACTTCTAACTTTGACTATCTAGCTCTTTCTCTAACCTCTAAAATCCTACCTCTAAATCCAACACATCCCTAACTGAAATCCTTAACTGATACAGTGGTGTCTTGCTTAACGATTGCCTCATTAAACTACGAAACCGCTATACAATGACTGTTTTGCGATCACTTTTGCGATCACAAAACAATGTTTTAATAGGCAGCATTCGCTTCCCACCGATCGGTTCCCTGCTTCGGGAACCAATTTTTCACTAGACGATGTTTTTAAAACAGCTGATTGGTGGCTTCAAAATGGCCACTCGCTGTGTAAAATGGCTCCCCGCTGTGTTTTTGGACGGATTCCTCGCTTTACAGGCACTGCAAATGGCCACCCCTATGGAGGATCTTCGCTGGACGGTGAGTTTTCAGCCCACTGGAACGCATTGAATGGATTTTCAATGCGTTTCAATGGGATTTTTATTTCGCTTAATGAGGATTTCTCTCTACAGCGATTTCGCTGGAACGAATTATCCTCGTTAAGCGAGTCACCACTGTATCCCTAACTGAAGTCCCTAACTGATCTTTGTCTTCCATTCTCTTCCTTGGTTCCGCCCCTTCTGTTCAACCATTGATTGCTAACTCAGGGTTCCATTGTGATGGACAGGATTGGTTACTGACCTGTCCGTCACAGAGGCCAATGTGGGAGAAATAGGCACATCATAGAGGGAGAGGAAGGAACAGAGGGGAGGGAAAACAAGAGTAATGTAACAATGTCTTACCTAGATTAGGATCATATTCACTTATGAACCTCTTAGTTAGAAACTTCACTGTCAGTGCTATAAAAAAAAAGCAAGAGAGAGCTGCTTAGTACTTATGGGTCCCCATGCAACAGCAAAAGTAACGTTAAACCACAAGATCTCAGTTTTGTGACCACAGAAATCATAGTTTTGGACCCTATCCTTCAAAGACTCTATAAATCTGATTTCTGCAGCTCCAGCTGAACCTTAGCTCTTACAGCCTTTTAAATCATCCCTTATTTGTTCCAGGATAAAGCCCCTTTTCCACTTGAGTGGATTATACAGATTATCAGCAAATCCCAAAGTAAACATGTTCCCTTACCATTGACTCCCAGTGTTACCGTACCAGTCAAGACACTGTGGAGCTTATTCTACTTTTCCCTCCTTAATTTTCAACCTCTTTCTGGTGGAAATTTAAAAGGCAGCTGAAATTACAGGAAACTAATGGGAAAGAATAATGTCCGGCACCTTCCTGGTTCCCCTAAAAAGACAAGGTGCCTGCAGGATCACAACCTGGCCTAGAAGCATTCCATGTGAGTTCAAACGCAGGTAACTTTGGCCACCCGTTTGCGTTCTTCAGCTCTTTGAAATTCTTGCTTCCAACGGGTTCATGCAACTTTCTCAACTGCGCTGGCCACCGAGACATTCCAATGATGTTTCTTTTGGAACCTTGCTTTCTTTATTTTTGTGGCATAAATGGAAACACTTGACTCTCTCTGGGACATATTTATCAGCGTCAAGACTTGCTCCAAGACCTGGTCTCTTTGAGCAAATGCCCAGAATCCAAGGCCATGGTAGAGGCCAGGACTTATACCTGCTCTGAGCAATCCCTTGTTCTCATTGTAAACAGAAAAAAAAGGATTCGTGCAGGCCCTCGATGGCCCTCCTCTCTCTTTTTCTGTTTCTTAATTCTTGTAAAAGCCAGGTTTTGATCTATTGCCAGAAGGAGGAAAGGTTGATCATTGCAGGAACCCTTCTTTCTCCAAAAAGCCAACAAAAGGATGATGGGGGTTGTTCAGAAAATCAATGATTTGGGGGTTGTTCAGAAAATCAATGATTTGTTTCATGGCCTTAGCACAAGTGCCCAACAGAAGCTAGTGAGTTCATTAGTTTTTTAAGGAAAGCCGCAAAATGGAGACAGAATCAGTGCAATCTTGCCCTCCAGCACTGAAAAATGTCACACTCCCAACACTATATCTGGCTATAATAACTTCCAGCAGGGCTGGTTTCCGACAGAATTAGGGGATGGGACATCTATCCCAGAACAAATTTACTCCTGAGTATGTTCCAAGCGGCTGATTTAAATCAGGAGCTTGGTAGGGTTGCTGAGTAATTTATTGACTGCCGTCATCTATTGCTCTTTCTTTGAGAAAATATGTTGTCCAGGTAAACGGCCACTCAGATATTTATCGTGTTGACACTTGCTTTGGATCAGGGCAAAACGGGGCCAAGTGGGAAGACGGTGGATCAGGGACTGGGCTCATATTTTCTCTCAGGGGTGGGCCTTCTGCATCCTTCCAGAGGTTGCTCGACTGCCGCCGCCCCCCCAGCGTCCCTTCCCATGAGCAATGCCTGCTACCACTTAGGAGAGTGGCAGTCCAACAGGAACTGCAGGGTTGACAGCCCTCTCCTGCATTTACACGCAGGAGGGCTCAGGTTTGCAGTGTATCTGCTCTACCCAGTTGTATCCTGGTTTGATACCCCTTTAACCATCATGGCTTCATCCTTTGGAATCCTGGGATCTGTAGTCTGGAGAGGTACACAGACCTCTTTGCTACTGTTCATGCCGTGGACCTGATTTCTCTAGGGAAAAATTCTAAGTATCTTCCAAAACCTCAGGATTCTACAGAATGAAGGAAATGAACTAGGATGTGATTATGGCCAGTTTGTGTCACCTCCACATTAGAAAGCAATGTAAGAAAAAGCAAGGAATAGGTAGTAAGATGCAGGACAACAAAACCATCAGGTGTATTCCTTTGCATGCCCACGGTTAAGTATCTCATCCCAGAGGTTTGTCTGTGAAGAGATTTACAGTAAGTCCCTCCAAGTCTGCTAATTTTTAGTGCCCCGCTAGAGCTGTTCTGCTTCTACGCAGATGCATGAAAAAGAACTGTAGATCACTGTCCTCCCCATTTTTACCCTCACAACTGTCTTGTGAAGTAGGACAAGATAAGAGAAAGAACAAGGTCGCCCACCATCACCTAGTGAGCTTAATGACCAAGTGGGGATCTGAAACTAGATCTCCCCAATTTTAGGGAGAAACTAGACCATACGTCTATCATGTTTTTAAAAGAGGTGCTCCCTCCACTGAAGAAAGACATCTCTTGGTCCTGGCCAGTAACTTCCCTCAGCTGTACAGCTTGCATTTAGTACACTTTGTTTTGGGATTGACGATTGGAAAGATTTCATTCTGAGGCATGTGTCTCTGAGGAATCTCTCTTGTGGGAAGGAAAACTGGTTAACAGCAAGGAATATAGTCTACTCGTTAATGTCTAGGTTGACCCCGAATTGAGCACTCTGCTACACTACACTGCCTAGTAGAACGGCCTCTGGGATAGGCCCACACTCCTGGCTCCAGCTCAGAGGAGCCGCTGTACTGCACATCACCCCTCTCTCTCCTCACCTGATTTCCCCGATCCTTGACATCCTAAGATGGCCAAGTTGCATTCTGGAAGGCTGTGGAAATGGCGCTCATTAGTACAGGAGGGAGTCCGAGGCTTGCCAAACATGGACGTCATCCCGAGACTGGATCAAAACTAGAAAATTAGAGAACAGGTACCAATAATACTGTTTCAAAAAACCATAAACAAAGCAAGCGACAAAGAACGGGTCACAAACGCAGGAGCCGGCTCGACCCGGAGTCATCGCATTGGCGCTCCACACCCAATATGGCGCACTACAGGTTTGATACCCAACACCACTTTTGAGCACAAAGAGTGCTCAAAAGTGGGATCCAAAGCCGAGAATCCTTCTTGCTTGTCTGTCCTTACCACCCGATCTATGGTTGATCCTGAGACTTGGGAGCCTCCGGATTAGAAATACATCGCCCCATGGGATTCCTCCCCAGTGTCGAGCCTTGAAATTCTAACCAAGCCCTTCCCTGATGGACCGTTGGGTTTGAGCGGAAAGGAGCACCACAGCCTGAAATGCATGCAGCTCACCTACTTTGGCAAACTGGAACACTCTAATTGTGCAAAATCCTAATCTATTAAAATCAGGGTCCTGGGAGCATTTCAGCTGCCTGCAAAAACCTGACGGATGAATAGAGGTGACAGCAGGACAAATGCACACCCTGGAGAGCCAAAGAAAGCACCCCCACGACTCGTGGCTGTCTGGTGTCTTCTTTAGCCTCCCAAAACCTACCCTTTCCTTCCTGTCTCAGATCCACCGGAACGCATTCCACTGGGCAGCTGCTTCTTTTGCCCCATGTAGCTGCTTGCAAACCCTCCTCGCAGATTTCTCTATGCTTTGCAATTGGAACACCATCAGGGCCAGCCTTGGGAACCCATCGCGCTCCGTAAATGCACCAGGTCTGGCTTACTACGTTGTGCTAAAAGCAGTACGCTTGGGCTCATTGAAGGATTTGGTGGAGGGAAGGTTCAGCACATGGGGTTCAAAGGACCTGCTTCCACTGCTAGGAAAAGAGAGAGAGAAAGAGAGAGAGAGAGAGAAAAGGAGGGGGAACCAACTCACCTTCAGATGAGAGCTAAATTGCCATGAGACCATGCAAGACGGAGGGGAGGCCACTTGCCAGCCACACACCCAAGGCGCTGCTCCTTCGGGCTGCTTGATCGGTCCTTTCCAGGGCTGCTCCAGAAGGGAACTGCAGGGAGCCAGCAAAGGGGCGCCCTCCTCGCTCCCCCACTGCCGACTGGGAAGCAGTGGCCAGCTCCCTCCCCACAGCGGCAGCAGGTCGCCTGGATGTGACTTGAATGAATGAGGCCGAGGAGAGAGAGAGAGAGAGAGAGGACCTCTTGCGCTCCTTTTGCCAGCTGACGTCCAGCCAAACTCCTTGTAAGGGAAGCTGTTGCAGCCTCTCTTGGCCTCCGAAGGACATGGTTTCCCATCAGCAAAGGGCAGGGAAGAGGCAGAGGGACCTTTCCTTCGGGAGGGAGGGAAAACATTGAAGATGACTGGTGGCGGGGAGGGGGGGGAGGAATCATTCTTCCTGGCTCTGTTTGTGAAGTGGAATAAACAGCAGATCCTTCTTAGATCTCGTCTGGGTAATTGCAACTGGATGTCCGAGGCACAAGAGTGGGTTTTTATCCACATTGGGTGTGTGTGTGTGTCTGCCTCCTGTTCAATCAAGACTTGGAAAAATTATTGAGAGTTTGGGATTGCAGTTCTCAGAACCCCCATGGATGGGGGATTGTGGGACTTGTAGTCCCCAAAAAGGAATGTTTCGAAGATCTGCAGGAAGCCGCGCTGAAAACTTGGGGTAGCCACAGAAGCCCATGCGCTACTGGTGCCTGTTCTGGATCCCATTTTAATTTTTTTTTCCTTTGAATCATAGAATTATAGAACTGTACAGCTGGAAGGGACCTTGAAGGTCATTCAGTTCAGCCCCTTTTGCCAGTGTGGAAAACTCTCTGCTAGAGCATCTCTGGCAGGAGGTCATCCAACCTCTGCTTAAAGATCTCCAGTGAAGGAAGGAGGGTCCTCTCACCTGCACGACCGTCGTTTCCACTGTTGAATGCCTCTCACGTTTCTGAAGCTCTTCCTAATGTTTAGTTGAAACCTCCTTTCTTGTAACTTAAATCCATCATTTTTGGTCCTTTCGTCCTCAGCCTCAGAAAAAACCCAGGCCTCCTCCATCTTCTACATGGTGGTCCTTCAGATGCTTTCTTAGAGGGCCCTCTGACCTGTCTGCAGGGCATCACAGGTACAGTGGTGCCTCGCTTAATGATTGCCTCGTTAAACGACAAAACTGCTATACGAGTACTGTTTTGCGATCGCAAAACGATGTTTTAATAGGCAAAATTTGCTTCCTGACGATCGGTTCCCTGCTTCGGGAACCAATTTTTCGCTAGACAATGTTTTTAAAACAGCTGATCGGTGGCTTCAAAATGGCCGCCCGCTGTGTAAAATGGCTCCCCGCTGTGTTTTTGGACAGATTCCTCGCTTTACAAGCACATAAAATGGCCGCCCCTATGGAGGATCTTTGCTGGACGGTGAGTTATTCAGCCCATTGGAATGCATTGAACAGGTCCTGCCTTTCTTCCCCGCCACCTGGCTTCTCCCAAAGGGCTGCCCCAATGGCGATTTCAGCAGCGGAGAAGCTGACTGGTGGGGGAGAAAGGCCAGATCGGCTCCTGCCTTTCTCCCCCACCGCCCGGCTCCCTCCCTTTTCCAAACCATTGGGGCGAAAGAGCTAAAGAAGCAGCCTCTTCGCCACCAACGGTTTGAATTTCCCGCCCTTTTTCCCTGCCTTTTTCGTCCGTACCTCGAAGCTCCGGCCGCAAGTCGATCCAAAATTTTGCGGCTGGAGCTGTACGTACGTTGAAAAGCCCGTAAGGAGGGCCATTCGTAGGTCGAGACTCCCCTGTACGTATTTATTTCGACTTCTTTGAATTAATTTACTCCCAGTGCTGTTTAAATGCCTTTGGTGCTTTAAATGTGCAGAGAGGGAACTGCGTGATCCACCGCCTGTTTCAGAAAATTATCCTGGGCATGTCTACTTTCATTCAAAGCCAGCACCAAGCACTTCCACTTTATGACAGGGATTTGATTTATGGTTGGATCTTACCAGCTATTTAAATAGACAGATAAATCATGGTAAGGAAAGTGGAAGGAGCAGCCGGAGAGACGGCTTCCCTGAGAAACAGCCCAAGACAGGAGGGAACTTTGCAAACCAATGTAAGTGTTTCGTTAAGGAAACCGTTAGGGTCCTTTCCTTGAGCAGATCTGTGTTTTTTTGGATTCGTGGGTCTGTTTCCTTTGCTATTCCTGGAGCAGAGCTCCTGGCTTGCTTTCATGCGGGAGGCATCTTTGGGTGAGAGAGCTCATGTTTTTCATTTGGTTCAGTCTCTGGCTTAGCCTTTCTAAAACAGACACCCTCCTAATATATTAGACCACAGGCCCCAAGAACACAATTCAATGGGCTGACGGCTGGGGAAGGGGAGTCCCAACTAACTGAGCCCAGGGCAGTTCCTCCGTCTCGTACAGCCACAGTTCAGACCTGGGATGGGCAAAGTTTAAGCTTCCAGTTGTTGTCGGTTTGTTCTGCATCCCTCATCATGGCCTACCCTGGTCGGGCCGAGTGGGAGTTGCAGATCAGCAGCATCTGGAAAGGTGCACTTTCCCTACCCATGGGCAAGAAGATGTTCTATACAGAGAAACTCCCCCCGATGGCACGAGGAACCTATGTTCATAGAACATGATTTTCTTCACCTCTGTATCTTACATTCAGTGTGCTTTAGTCTGTAATTGGTAATGGGAAGACAAACGGCCCTTCAATATGGAAATCTGACTGCTGACATACATATATCTCTGAGGATGTCCCATTACTGTATCATGTGGGTTAATCATCAGGAATAGATATTCTCCTAATGGCTTGTTTCTCTCTTAGACCAGGCATAGAAAAGCCAATGATCTGACTTGTTTTCCTGGCAATGGCCTTGAAAGAGGGCCTTTTGGGGATAAGCGCAGAACAATTTAAGGAGAGGCTGAGGTTCTTCTATGAAAGAAACTGAGGGTGAACCAAATCCAAATCCCAGAAGGTATGCTTAATGGACCCCTTAAAGAGGAGCTACTTACTGCTCTATTGGCAGAGATCTGTATATATGTTTTTGTCCGATTTCATATATTTTTCTAGACTTGTTACTTTCTTTATCCTCCCCCACCTTCTCCATTAAATGTTATAGGGGCTGATTGGCTGAGGAGAAAAATCTGAAAGAATTATGCTTTCATTGGGACCTACAGAAAAGGCAGACAGGAGCCAGCTCATTGGCTCAAGTCTTTGTAGGGCTGCCAGGTCAGCCGTAGGACCTTGTGATGTCACAGCGTCAGGGCAGGCAAGGATGTGGAGGTGAGCCGAGACGGCTTTTTGGCTAGCTGACGGTGGCCATGGCCACAAGGCACGCCATTCCGAGCCTTGATCAAATGGTAGGACTTGACTGAGGGCACCAATGCGCCTGTTCTCTCCACCTTCCTCGCATTTGGGCACCCGTGCTACTCGAGGGCAACACACATCGAAACATCTTTGTGAGTCCTGGTGCCAGCTGCCGATGGGGTGGAGGTGGCTGCCTAGGCTTTAAAGCCACGTCACAAAGGAAAGATGGATCAGGACAGATGTACTGAAGATCCGATAACTGTTTTACACACACATATTCTAAAAGCATTTCCACCTTGCATTCCTTCTTAAAAAGGACCCGAGGTGGCTTACATCATTAGAAGACAACCTTTGAAGCTAAAAACAGCAAGCATACAAATACTAAAAAAGATCAGATACCGCTCTAAGAAATGATAAACAAAAGCCATACCAAAAGTACAGTGAAAGCAGGAAGACACAACCATCCATTAAAAAAAAACCCTCCACCCAGGGAGCGAGTCCCTGAAGAGACACCTGCCTGAAGAGAAAGGCCTTGGCCTGCTTGCAGAAGGACAACCAAGAGGGAGCCAGCCTGGCCTCTTGTGGGAGGGAGTTCCAAAGTCTCGGGGGCAGTGACAGAGAAGGCCCTCTCCTGTGTCCCCACCCAATGCACCTCTCTAGCAAATTCCTCAGTCAGGCCAACTCAATAGCACCATGCAAGAGGACACCAAAGGCACGCACACGTGCACACATGCAGGCGCTTGCCCTTTGCAAAAATGTGCTGCGCCGAGCCCAGGCCATGTCCTTTTTCCACACAGCTGTCTGAAACAGGCCATGTTATGGGAAAAGGAGAAATAAACACGGTGCAAAGAACTAAGTGTCACAGAAAGCATTGCTCACTTCCTCTGACATCCCCGGGGAGGAGAAGCTGAGGACAGAATGTGCCCTTGCGTGGAGCCCCTTGGATTTGGCTTCATGAGATGGGAGCGGACGGAGCGGGTTGCCTGCCCGTTAGCGAGGCCCGAAGGAGATGTCCCACGGAGGAGAACGCAGGGCACAAAACACCGACCTGACAGGGGAGGCCTTCCCAAACAGACCTTGGCTGTCCTCAAGGGAAAGGGCTGCTCGGCGGCTGGAGTCTCCTCGGCTTGCCTAACTGGGGAGGGGACCCATTCTGCAACCCAGAAGCATTTTGGCATGCATTCTCTTAACTGTTTCAAAACCCAGTAGTATAATTGTTTGTTGGTTGGTTTTAAAACTAAAGCTTGATTACAAACAAAGCGACAGCCTTGCCAAAGGGGCAGAACAAGGGTCACCCAAGTGAATATTCTGGGCTAAATCTGAGGAGGAGTCCAAAAACTAAATATACTCTTGGAACAAATGCAACTTGTTCCATCTTTATGTAAGTCTCAAAGGACTGCAACTTAGTTGTAAGTTGCAACAGGAGTAAGCCCATTTGAGCAATTTGTTGAATCAACTCCTCTGTAAGTTCCATTGATTCAATGGGTCTACTTAGTTGTGACTTACTCCTGGATTTCAGCTGTTGATTCCCTGGGTTTATTTTTGTGGATACTTGCCATTGTATTTCCGATTGTAAGGGTGGCCGGCCAACCTGGAAACGTTCTTAAGGAGGCAAGGGAACCGTTGCCATTTCCTGGCATTTGACCCTTCTGATATTAAGACAATCTCTGAACAGGGAAGCTGGGCCTGCCATCGTGGCAAACCTGTGAGGGAGTCGTGCGGGTTTCCCTCAGCGGAATGAACAGGACTAGAGGCGACCGAAGTGCTACACGTAACAATCTAGGTGGGACTTTTACGACCATGGGTGAAAAATGGCCTCCTGTATGAAGATTCTTTTACTCTATCACCATGTTCAGAGTTAGAAAAAAATGCCTTTTTGGATGATTGTTGTTGTTGTTGTTGTTTAGTCATTTCGTTGTGTCCGACTCTTTTGTGACCCCCATGGACCAGAGCACGCCAGGCCCTCCTGTCTTCCACTGCCTCCCAGAATTGGGTCAAATTCATTTTGGTCACTTCGATGACACTGTCCAACCATCTCGTCCTCTGTC